AGGCGTTTAAACATGTCGATCATTGGGCCCCAGCACTGCTCAGTGGCGTGAACTGTACACATGGCGGTCACCACACATCCATCCAGCTCCCTCTCCCACACACGCCTTCTCTTGGAGAACTCCTGAGCTCTGTCTCTTTGCTAGTTTCCTCTAGCCTACAGTTGACTGACATGATAAGATGAGCCTTGAACTACTGTTGGTGGTTAATTGTACTAGAGCTGGCTCCCTCTTGTAGCTCAGCTAAAAGTTTAACAGGCAAATAAAGAGTGAAATGCTTCTCTTGGAAAACCAACAGGTTCTTTGAAAAGTGCTCAAGGGGAAACAAAAGAGTCATAAAGGGTGACTGGGTTGTTTGCTGCTTTCTGAAGTCTGAAGCAGAAGATAAGGATTGATAATCACAGAAACATTGGATAGAAGAAATCCAGACAAGGGGGCTTTGAGATAAGTCAATATTAAATGGCAGTCTTTAGTATCACCAAGCTGAACTCACTCCTGTTTGAAGAAAGCATTTCCAAAGCCAGATATAGTCAGCCAAGCTAGGGTTTGTATTGTTTTTTTTTTATCTCTTTAGCCTACTGAAAAATACATCAAGTTCTCTTATGAGCGTTTTCCTAGAAATGATGTGGGAAAGAAAAAATTTTGTAACAAATCATTGTGATGTTGTGTCGCCAACAGATAAATGATGGAAACTGAGGTGGATTTGGTCCTGTGTCTGAAACTAAGTAGATAATGACGTCAGCAATATAGCTCGTGCAAAAAGCCTGCGATGGCATGGCACAGCATAATCATTAAGTGGGAGGGGAAAAAAATCTCAAAGTTCAATGCCACAAAACCTAAATCAATGTAAAAGGAGTCAAACTTTTACTTGGCCTCACTGCCTTGGTAAAAGAAAGCTTCATGCTTCCACCCAACTCAAACAGGCAAGTGCTGGGGAGAGGAGGGTAGCATACTTTATGACACACAAGAATAGTTCGTTGCGGTGGTCAACATAGCTAAAGGATGGAGATTTATCACCAATGAAAATGGCATTTACCAACTTGCTTTGACACACTACCCGCCGTCGGCACGAATCCTAATGTGCTCTGTGGGCGGCTAGAGAGTTGTGACCACATAGGCAAGAGACCTTGATTTCAGAGAATGGAATGTCCCATCTCAAGAGTAAAGCTCTGTATCCACTGTGTGAACACTGATCACAAATACTGTGACACCAAGCAGCCGATCTTTATAAGCATACAAAAAGGGCTGTTTTTCTCAGGCAATGTAAATATCTGCTACCAACAGGCACTAGTGAAATAAACATGTAATACATCATCATTTCTAAAATCCTGATAGAAATCATAAAACATCCGTCCAAAGGAGCAACATACCCCAGGAGCCTAAGATCAGAGCTCATTGCTACTAAAATCCCAGTCCCGCCGGAATGCCCTGTGGAGAATATCAGTGTTGGTCTATCACCACTAGACACAACTAGGAGAACTGGACAAGCCAAAAAGCAGAGCACTGGGCTCCCACCTGCTGTGCACGATCAGAGCCCCTGGGTCCTCAGCCGGCACTCTTAGAGCAGGAGGAAGAGCACTGTTCTCAGATCCAGTCACAGCAGGTACTATTCTGGCATCTTCTCCCGGCGTTGCTGCTGTGGGAGGGGGTATGAACAATACCCTCCCTTGGCTCAGCCTTGGTTATGCCAACCTCTCTGGGTGAGCCCCACCCTCCTGGTCTGGTTCTTCCCCATCTAGACAATGATGCCCCAAAAGTGTCTTCCAGGAACACTGTGTCTTTCAAGCTTATCTTGAACCAGCACTTGAGGGCCCAGAGGACCCACATAAGGACCCAGAGCTTATCTTGGCCAGCACGCTTGACCCCACAGAGTGCCCACCTGGGTCAGGAATAACAAATCTCCCTAGAAGAACTGAAGTAGACCTTTTGAATCCCCTGTTCACAGGGGTGCCCCTCCATATGTAAGTTAAAACCGATAGTACTAAGGCATAAATGGAGTAAGTGTAGGGAAATCCAAAAAAGTTCTCCATTTTTCATGGTGATTATCTCAGTGTTTGTTTTTTCTGCACATATCTAGTTCTCCAGCCTCTAGGAGTTTTCGGTATCACGCTGCTATGAATAGAAATGCAGCTGGCTCATCGGGCAACCCCAGCCACGTCCCTAGATGGTGTGACCCTGATCCCTCTTTTTAAGTAAGGGGGCTTGATCTGTTCAAACCCACCCCACAACCAATAACAGATGCCACCCTGATCAAGAAATGGCACATCCCCTCGCTTTCCTCTTACAGAGCCACCAAATGAGGACAGCAATGTCAAGGGTCTTCTCTTTGTTTGCAAAGAACCCTATCTAGATTGCCACACAGAGACACAAGTTATGCTCTCCCCAGGTGCCACAGCGCTTTCTCATCACCCCAGGCTCTCACCCAAGAACCGCGCCCCGCTCCTCTTTCCAAGTTTCCTCCCACAGCTCACCACCGAAAGTCCGCTTTCCTGGCACCTTCTTCTGAGAGCCCGTCCCGTTCTTGAGCATCACCCTAGAACCTATTATTGAGGCTAGTCCTGCCTCTTACCACCTAGCTGTCCACCACCAGTTTTAACTGAGCATATAATGTGTTCATAGTCTGACTGCCTGAGATTGAAAAGTTATCTAGTTTGTTCCTGCCCATAGACACCTGGAGAGTGATGGCTGGGCATTATGACGTCAGCCCATAATGCGGCAGAGGGTGAGGGAGGGCTTGTGCCAAACGGACAGCTAGGCTTCTCAAGGGGAATCTTCTCGTCCTTGACAACCTGTGATTAGGCTAGCCAGCTTGCCAAAGATGGCTCTGAACATCTTCCTTCATCCCAAGGGTTCTCATCTAAGACGAGCGCCACACAGAAACGACCGTGATCGCTCGCACATGTACAGGATTCTGAAATGATGGCCCAAAAATCTGCCTGTATTGGCCAAGTGGCTTTTTCTTCCCCACCATCTGCACAAACTGTGCTCTGGGGGGAGAAAAACCTAGCACTGATGTGGTACCTGGTTACCCAGGACATACATGGCTGCTGCCATGGCAACCTGCAGCCTATCAGCTTGGATGTCTCCACAGAGTCTCCATTGAGAACTGGCAGAGGCCCCGGAGGCTAAAGTTTCTGAGGGCCGCTTCACCTGCAGACAGCCTTGGGGAAAACAGGAGCTATGGGGCAGTGTCCAGGCAAAGGAAGCTATTCAGCATGCCAGGTGTAGGATAATCCTAGCCTTCTTCCAGGATGGCGCAAACTTAGGTGGCCAAATGGCTCCTTTAAAAAGCTATACTTTTTTTTTTTTAAGATTTTTATTGGGGAATTGGGGGAAGGGGAACAGACAAGTTGCTGTCGTTTTGTTCTTCAGTCTAGTTGTGGAGGGCATTGCTTCACTGGCTCAAGTTGGCACCATCATTGCGCTCTTCCCGGGCGAGGTAGATCAGCCGCCGGCTTCTGAACGGCCGCTCACGGCAGCTGCTGGCCACTCACACTGGCTGCTGACTACACACGGTAGCCCATGGCAACCCACCTGCCAGACGCTGGCGACTCACTGGCAGCCCAGCTCCAGGTTGAGCTGTTGTTCAGCATCTTAGCTGTAGAGGGCAGTGTCACTGGCCCTCATATGTGGGATCCGAATCGGGGCCCTCTGGAGTCCCAAGCCAGCTCTTAACCAACGCGCCACTCAGCTGGCCCAAAAAAGCTATTCTTTAAGCCATCACCTCCATACACACAAACCCATACCCAAATCACATTTACCTTAAAAGAAAAATCCCCAAGCTAAATTTGCATTACCTGATGTAACGTGTGTCCAAAGAGCTGCCATTTTATTAATCATTAAATAAACTCTGCCTAAAAAGTTAAGATGGGCCCCAAACCAATAGTTAAATAGTGTTTCAATTTAACTAAGTACAAACAAAAATGATTTTAAAATTTTACTTACAAATTCTTTTTTAAAAAACCTGGTTTCAAATCAGAGATGTTCCTTTTTGCTCCCTGATGCATTCTCCCGAACACCATTTCGCTGTGAACTTGCCACTGTCCACCTGGCTTTGAACCTGAGACTAGACTCCTTTACGTTGGCATAAAAAGGTGAAGTGGAATTGGGCACTGAAGCTCTGAGTTGAATTCGGCCTGGGCCCTGAACCAGGCAGGCATGCCCTCTGCTCAGCAGGAACAATGCTGCACGTCCCACTGGACACGGGCCTCAGGGGACACAGGGAGCCCAAGATGCTGGCCTGCTTCCCAAAAGAGGCTATTAGTGCTCCAGTCTCTTAGTCATGACCACACTGCGGTCAGGCCAGATCAGATCCCAAAGTCTGCAGCTCCCCTGGTCAGCGGGCCATGTCTGTAGGGAGCATCAGGGACTATATGAGAACTTGACACAACCTGGACCACTGCACTCGAAGGTTTACTTCCCTCATGTTTAATAATTCTGTTACAATGGACATCAGTGATACATGGGGCCTGTTATCACATGGTTCCTCTCTATGTGTATTTTCATACAGTATTGTTTTTACCTTTTCTAAAAGAAAGGAGACTCCTCTGAACGTCACAATGCAGTGGCTATGTTCCCAATTCTTTGTAACTCACACATTAACTAGCAAATGCAACAAACCTCTACACACACACACACACACACACACACACACACTCACATATGAATACATATATGCACAGGCATGCACACACACCTGCAAATACACACACAACTTATCCTTCCCAATCAGGTATGAACTGGTCCACATAGTGAATTTTCAGAAAACCAAAGCCTTAAGAATAACAATCACTTCCCCCACCATCACTGTGGTATACGTCTTAAAATGTACCATACGCATACCGGAAACTAATATAATATTGTATGTCAACTGTAATTGAAAATTTTTTAAATTATTATAAAAGAAAACAAAAAATATATATGAATAAATACATGTATGATACGCTTCCCTGAACCCACAGGCAATGGGTCATAAAGTAGCCTTTCTTTTCATTGTTTTGTAGGAAACCTGGATTCCATCTGAGGAAACGGCATTGTGGTCCTGGCCCCATCCCCAGATGAGCTGTGGTCTTGGACAAATCACTGGACTGCTCTGAAATAGTTTTCTTATCTTTTTTGAATGAATAAACTTTATTTTTTAGAGCAGTTTTAGGTTCACAGCAAAACTGAGGGGAAGGCACAGAGGTTTCCCTGCACCCCCTGCCCCCACACCCACAGCCTCCTCCGTCACCAACATCCCCACCAGGTGGGGCATGTGTTACAATCGATGACCCTAAGCTGACTCGTCATCCTCACCCAATATCAGAGCTTCCATTAGGGTTCACTCTCGGTGTCAGGCATTCTGTGAGTTTTGACAAGTGTATAATCACACAAGTCCACCATTGTATAATACTATGACTACAGAGTAGTTTCACTGCTCTAATATCTTCTGCACTCTGCTAATTCATCTGTCCCCTCCTGCCTAACCCTTGGAAAACACTGATCTTTTCACCGTCTCCATAGTTTTGCCTTTTCCAGAATGTCATAGTGTTGGGATCAAACAGTATGACACCTTTTCACATTGGCTTCTTTCACTGAGTAACATGCATTTAAGTTTCCTCCATGTCTTTTTGTGGCTTGATAGGTCATTTCTTTTTAGCGATGAATAATACTCCATTGTCTGGATGGATCATAGCTTCTTTATCCATTCAGCTACTGAAGGACATCTTGGTTGCTTCTAAATTTTGGCAACTATGAATAAAGCTGCCATAAATATCCATGTGCAGGTTTTGCATAGGAAAAGTTTTCAATTCATTTGGCTAAATACCAAGGAGCATGCATATTGGATCATATGATAAAAACTTATGTTTAGTTTTGTAAGAAACTGTCTTCCAAAGAGCCTGAACCATTGTGCACCCCCACCGGCAATGACTGAGCGCTCCCGTTGCTCCACATCCTCGCCAGCATTTGACGTCATCAGTGTTTTAGATTTTGGCCATCCTAACAGGTGTGTGTTTGTATCTCATTATTGCTTTGATTTGCATTTCCCTGATGGCATGATGTGGAGCGTTTTTTCACGTGCTTATTTGCCATCTTTATATCTTCTTGGGTGTGGTATCTGCTCGGGTATGACCATTTTTTACACTCGTTTTTTGGTTTTGGGGTTTTTTTCTTTTTATTTTTTATTAGTTTCAGGTTCAGGTTGTTTTATTATTGAATTTTAATAGCTCTTTGTGTATTTTGGATAACAGTCCTTTATCAGATGTGTCTTTTGGAAATATTTTCTCACAGTTTGTGTTCTGTCTTCTCATTCTCTTTTTTTTTTTTTTAATTGGGGAATTGGGGGATGGGAACAGCGCTGGAGAATTGGGGGAAGGGGAACAGACAAGTTGCTGTCTTTTTGTTCTTCAGTCTAGTTGTGGAGGACGTTGCTTCACTGGCCCAAGTTGGCACCATCATTGCGCTCTTCCCGGGCGAGGCAGATCAGTCGCCGGCTTCTGGACGGCTGCTCACTGCGGCTGCTGGCCGCTCACGCTGGCTGCTGGCTACACACGGTAGCCCATGGCAACCCACTGCCACAGGGGCTGCAGCCTACGCCGTCCCGGCGACTCACGGCAGCCCAGCTCCAGGTTGAGCTGTTGTTCAGCATCTTAGCTGTAGAGGGCAGTGTCACTGGCCCTCATATGTGGGATCCGAACTGGGGCCCTCTGGCGTCCCAAGCCAGCTCTTAACCAATGCTCCATTCGGCCGGCCCTCTTCTCATTCTCTTGACAGTCTCTTTTGAAGAGCAGAAAATTTCAATTTTAATGAAGACCAGCTTATCAATTCTTTCTTTCATGGATCACGCCTTTGGTGTTGTATTTTAAAAGTCATCACCATACCCAAATTCACCTAGGTTTTCTTGAATGCTATCTTTTAGGAGTTTTATAATTCTGCATTTTACATCTAAATCTACGATCCATTTTGAGTTAATTTTTGTGAAGGCATAAGGTCTGTGTCTATATTTTTTTTGGATGTTAACATACAGTTATTCCAGCATCATTTGTTGGAAAGACTATCTTTGCTCTATTGTACTGCCTTTGCTCCTTTGTCAAAGATCAGTTGACTATATTCATAGGGGGTCTATTTCTGAGCTCCCTGTTCTGTTTCATTGATCTATTGGGTTGTCGGAAATGTGATGACATATTTTTTCTGTTTTTCGTTGCAAAAATGTGTCATGACTTTTCCAACAACCCAATATTTTCCTATTCTTTCAATAGTAGCACACTGTCTTTTTTATTATTAGTTTCAGGTGTACAGAATAAATGAACAAACAAAACAGAAATAGACTCAGAGATGTCAGGGGAAAATAACTGAGGGTTGCTAGATGGGAGAGGGGTGGGGATGGGGGAGAAAGTAAAGAGATTAGAAAGTACCACACTGTTTTGATTACTGTAGCTTCATAGTAAGTCTTGAGGTTGGATAGTATCACTTCTCTAATTTTGCTCTTCTCCTTCAATATTGAGTTAGCTATTCTGGATCTTTTGTCTCTCCACATAACTTTAGAATTGGTTTGTCAATATCCAGAAAATAACTTGCTGGGATTTTTATTTGAATTGCATTGCATCTATAGATCAATTTGTTAAGAACTGACATCTTGACAATATTGAGTCTTCTTATCCATGAACATGGACTATCTCTCCATTTATTTCGCTCATCTTCATTATCTTTCATCAGAGTATTACAGTTTTTTCATATAAATCTTGTACATATTTGGTTAGATTTATACCTATGTAAGTATTTCATTTTTGGGGGGTGCTAACGTAAGTGGCAATTTCACATTCCGTTTTTTTATTGCTGGTCTATAGGAAAGTGATTGATTTTTTGTACACTAACCTTGTATCCTGCAACCTTGCTATAATGGCTTATTCCAGGATTTTTGTGTTGATTCTTTTGGATTTTCTACATAGACAATCATGTCATCTGCAAACAAAGACAGTTATATTTCTTCCTTCTCAATCCATCTAAACACTGCTTTCACTGCATCCCACAAATTTTGATAAGTTGTAGTTCCATTTTAACTTAGTTCAAAATGTATTTTTAATTCTCTTGTGACTTCTTCTTTGACCTACATCTTATCTGGAAGCATGTTGTTGAATCTCCAAGTCTTTGGGGATTTTTCATCTATCTTTCTGTTATTGGTTTCTATATCCCATTGTGGTCTATAAGCAGACATTGTGTGATTTCTATTCTTTTAAGTTTGTTAAGGTGGATTTTATGGCCCAGAATATTGTCTATCATGGTGAATGTTCCCTGTGAGCTTGAAAAGAATGTGTCAGGAGTTAGTTTCCTCATCTTTTTCAGCAAGAATTTGAATCCCCCAGTCTCTGCTGCTATGATTCTAATATTGGTTCTGGTCTACACCACCCCTGCACTAAATGGCCCTAGAGGACTTAGCTTTAAGTCTTAGCCGATTTTAATAGTTTTACTGATTCCTTTGCTTGCAGTAGTGACATTTCACTATCATCCATACACTTGACTCCAGCATCCCCTCACCAACCACACCTCTCTCTCTTCTCCTCTACCACCATAACCCCCATAGCAAATAGACAAGTTGTGAGTTAGGTGCCTTCTGGACAAACAGGTGTTACTGAATAGGCACTATAGTCTTCTCTATAGTAGAAAAAGCCCCAAGGAAAGTTGGCATCTTTGATGGAAAATATGTGCATGGCTATTATAGTAGCTCATCTGTGAGCAGCTCAATGGGCTCCAACAGGTATTGACAACTTGCTTTTAACCTGAATCCAGTTTTACCTTCCTTGACGCATGCATTGAGGCAAAAAAAAAAAAATTTAATACTAAACCAAGCAGAACATAACTAGTGAGGCAAAAAAGTTAAACCATAATAACATTTTAATTCAATTGCTTCATTTCAGCCTTATCGCTGTTTTCCACTATTAACTGAAAGATAATTCATTGTAATTGCCTTTCCTAATAAAATTGCACTATACTAAGGCTCAAAAATATTTGCTATGGCCCAATAAAACACGAGGTTGTTCTGTGAGCCATTTCCTAAGATAGAAAAATATTCTGGAAATTTCGCTGGTTCAAAAGTCTACAGGAGTGCCTAAACTTTAGTAGTCTTTTTAATCCTGAATCTATGAAACTGAAGATAGGTCTTGACCTCGTTTGAGGGTTGCATGTTTGTGGACATTTGTTTGTTTCTACTGACCTGGACGTTCCATTCTCACCAACGTACAGAACTATCAGGAAACTTTTAAACAAACAAAGAAAAAGCCCAGCTTCTCTCAGAGCCAGATCATCAAGCTGGGTGTCTTTGGGGTGCATGTTGGGGTTCCAGTATCCATTCCTAGAGAATACAAGTCTTCTGAAGAAGACACAAAACACAGACATACTTGATCTTCAATACCATTCCCAGAAATTCTTTTAAGAAGTTGAGTTTTTTTGTAAAATGCTCACATCCTACAGAGAACTAAAATGTGTCGTTTTCAAGGTGCATGAAGTTCACCAATGCTGAGAGCAAGCATGCACTTGTACTTCCATTCTCAGGGACCCACACAGCCAACTATACACGGATAAAACTCCACGCAGAGTATTCTGAAAGCTGGCTGATGCCCCATATTTTATTCTCAATCTACACTTTCTTGACTGAGTGTTGGCTGACAAACACAGGACAGCAGGCCATGTCCTAGGCAAGTGACTCTGAAGACTCTAAGAAATAGTGACATCTTGCTCTGCCCTCAACAAGCTTACAACCTCATGGCTACCAGCTCTGACCACAAGACAACATTGTGCTGAGGGCATCAAACCACACAAAAGCCCAGTGAGCAACTGCTGACTCACGTTACAAATGAAGAAACTGAGGCATAAAGAGAGACATTAACTTTCTCCAGTTTTAGAAGTGAGGCAATCTAACAAAGAGAGCATAACAACTGTCCCGAAATTTAAAGAAAGCAATAAGGTTTCCTGGGGAAGAAAGGGCGTCCTGACATTCCTCGAGACTGGGCAGGGCTTGGAAGATGGAGATGCAAGATGGAATGCCTTCCTTCCCGTTTGAGGGGCCAGCACAGGAGAGGGTCCAAAGTTAGACAATCACAAAGCAACTCTGGGAAGGGGGGTTGCCTAGGCCAGCCTAGGTGAGGTGGGATTTCTTATCGTAGAATTTGAAAAAATGTGCATTTTGAAAACTGGTGCCAAATTGTAGAAGACGGGATCCAGCCTAAGGAACATGGACCAAAAAAGGGGTAGCATGGCAGCATTTACTAATAATCCCCCTTCCCCCCAAGGTTTAAAAGGCTCCTAGATCTTTAGAACTAAATTTAAATTTTTTAAAAAAAAGTAACTTTTGGAGGTAAAAAACAAAATCTCCTTGACAAAAATGTCAAGCTCATTGAAATGATTCAGTGAATCTGTGAAAAATGGAATAAACCATTGGTGGAATTTCAATAGCATTTAGTAGTAAACTTCATGTCCAGAAAAATCCTAAAACAAGAGTTATTACAGGAGAGATTTATAGATATTAACCAATACAATGCACAGGATGAAGTTTTATCCGAGCAAAAGCAATGACCCTTTAGAGATGAACAGAAGGAAGGAAATGCAGATTGCAAAAAATCCTACCAAGGCTTC